TAGAAATTCAAGATGAAGGTTTCAGCCAAGTTGGTTCGTTCTGAGAGCTGTGAGACACCCTGTTTCACGCCTCTCCCCTGACTTCTAGCAGTTTGCTGGTAATCATGGGTGTTCCCTGGCTCACAGATGCACCACCCTGATCTACCTTCATCTTCACATGGCATCCTCCCTGTGTGCATGTCTGTGTCCAAATTTCTCTTTCTTATAAGGATACCAGTCATATTGGATTAGGGGTTCACCTTATTCCAGTATGACCTCATCCTAACTAATTACGTCTGCAATCACCCTCTTTCCACATAAGGTCACATTTTGAGGTACTGTATGTTACAACTTCAACATACACATTTTTTTGGTGGAGGGACATAATTCACCCACTAACACTGGTCTTGGATTTTTTACTTTATTTTCTAATTATGTGTAACATTTCTCTATTCCATGGACTTCCTAATCTTGATTCTCTTCTAATTTAGACAGCTCTCACACAGTTTTTTTTTTTAAACCTCTCCTAGTTCTTTTTAAGAACTCTGCTAGTTCTTCATATGATAGGAAAATTGTATCCCCATGGCCTTTTTAAATTGTTGGGGATTTTTTCCTTTCAGTATGTGAGCTATTTTTGGCTTTTTGATTTCTAAACAGTACTTACTGTGTACACTGTGTATATAAACAGGTGGCATATTTTGTTGATTGAGTGCTTAAAGAAACAGATGACCTGGTTGAAAGGTCAGTCCAAGATGGTAAAGGATCATTTTGCACATTGAAACTGAATGCCTAAAAGGATTCTATAAAATAAAGTACTGGGATCCTCTAAAAACAAGGGGCAGGAATGGAAAGCAAAGAGAAATTCTTCCTGTAATGTTCCAAAAACTACAAAATTCATATATCTTCCACTTCATATTTTTATATCAGTTGCAAAAGTTATGCACTGATAAAGAATTCAGTATGATTTATTTTAAAAATAAAACTTATCTTTTATTTATCTAGAAAAATTAAGAAAATATCGTATGTTTTATGGTATATATTCCACCAGAATGCTAATTCCATGAGTATAGGCACTTTGACTCACTGTCATATCCCAGGGATTAGAACAGTACCTGCCACAAAGAAAGGGTCCCAATAAATATTTGATGATTAAGTTGTTTCAATTGTACTTCTTTGTATTCTGTTTTGTTTTGTTGGCTCAACTAAATCTCAGAGAAATCTGCTGCCCGTACCTGCCTGAACACCTCTACCACACACACCGCTCTAGCAGAGCCACGTTCCTGATGTCTCCATCACCTGAGGGTCTCTACACTGGCGTTAAAGCCCAAAGCCAATAGCCACTTCCTCCCACTGTGCCAGCAAGGCCTTACGATGCAGCAGTTTTGAAGACAAGAGGTAAAATGTGATTTGAAATCAGAACAGCATTAATTCTTTTTATATTTGGAGTTTATTCAATAATAAAATTAAAGAAAGGACCCCATCACAGACCAATGAAATCAGATTCTCTGAAGATGCCCTTTTCTTCTTTAGACAGAGCTTCCCATGATAGAACCAGAAACTAAACGTTGTAGAATTAGTTGTTTTTATTCTACTTGTATTTTCAATTTTTGTTTCCTTACCATTCTCTCTATGGTTTAACTTTTAAAAATTCCATCCTAGCTCAAGTGATCAGCACAAAGGTCAATGTTTGGTTCAGAGCATCAGAGTCTAGACATGGGTGTAGCTGTTGCGATAAAACTGAAAAGATCATCATTGAAATAAGACTCAGGAAGTAATGAGAACAATTTGATCAATTCCTCTTAACACCTTGGAGTGTCTCTTCGTGGATGCAAACCTTGGGGTCTTCCCAGATATGTTTCATTAGAGAGGATGGTAAGCTCATACACTAGCCATCAATTCCATCCCACACTAGACACCTCAAAACAGAGAAGAAACCTATGGAGAAAGACAAGATACTAGAGGGAAGATAACTGAAGGTGACAGAAGAGGTACATGGTAGACAGAGATAAATATTTGTTGAATGAATTTAGGCTGTGAGGTAGGTAAGACACAAGAACTGTGCTATATAATGCAGCTCCTCTGTACATGAATATTTGGACCCAAATATAGGAACACAATACTGCCATCATCAATATCAATATCAGCATCCTATTAGGAGGCAATAACTTTTGAGAGATATTATGGTGGAGTGTTTAAGAGCATGGACTAGAGAGTCCAACTGCATGGGTAGCATTCTGGCTCTGCCACTTACTCACCATGGACCATGGGAAAGTTCCTGAACTTCTCTGCCTCTACTTCCCAATCTGTAAAATGGGAATATTTGTACCTACTTCACAGATAACAGAGATTAAGCGTTAGCAGCTACTATTTTTATTATATACTCTGCTACCATATAATGATTCTGTATGTGTACAGCATGCTGAACCTTTCCATTGATAAAAGGTACTGAAAGCTGTATCAAATATATGTATATATAGATACATACATATATAGGTATGACACTAAATGATACATACATATATATACATGTATGTATGTATGTACAGGATGTATACAAGATAGGATATCTAAGCAGTTGAAATTTTTGTGATCTTATTAGGTAAATCATCAAAGTAAACTAATATTTTTCAATCCCTAAATTAGATAATTTCTGAAATTACATGAAATGCATACAGTTAGGAAGAAATCACAGAAATGTGTGTTGAGTTTATAAAAACACTTTTCAGTGCAGTTGTAGACCAGGGACTGAAGAAGTGGCCAAATCCAACCAGAAGTCAGAGAGCCAGGGGACCCAGGTGATGCAGTTCTTAGATGACAATGTCCTAAGGCAAAGAAGGGGGAAATGGATCTATAGAGGCAAAAAGAGGACAGCCAGCACAGTGACTCCTGAGGGCTGAGAGGTGCAGCTCCCTTCCCCGCTAGGCTACCAGAAAACTGACAGACATCAACTCTCCAGGAGAAAGAGTTCCCAGCTAAGGTTGAACAAGGCAATGCTCTCCCTTCTTGTCTCAGCTCTCATATTGTAAACGTGTCCTTTTTGCAGTCTACTTCATGCCACGTTTTTCACATTTTGTGCCCTTTGTTGGTGATTTTGCTGTGTAAAATGGCCCAAGATAGTGCATGTGCACTGTTTCTAAGTGCAGGAAGTCTGTGATGTACCTTACTGAGAAAATATGTCTGTGCTTCATTTAGGCTTGAGTTCTTAGACTTGACACAAAAAACATGATTCATAAAAGAAAAAATTGACAAATTGAACTTCATCAAAATTTAAAACTTTGGCTGGTGAAAGGATGAAAAGATATGCTATAGACTGGGAGAAAATATTTTGCAAGCCATATATATAACAAAGGACTAATATCTGCAATTTATAAAGAACTCTAAACATTCAACAGTAAAATAACAAACAATCCCGTTAGAAAATGGGCAAAAGACATAAAGAAACATTTCACCAAAGAGGATACAAATGGCAAATAATCATTTGAGAAGAGATTCAACATCATTCATTAACCATTAGAGAAATGCAAATTAAACCACAATGAGATATCATGACACATCTATCAGAATGGCTAAAATAGGGGCTTCCCTGGTGGCGCAGTGGTTGAGAGTCCGCCTGCCGATGCAGGGGACACGAGTTCGATCCCTGGTCTGGTAAGATCCCATATGCTGCGGAGCAACTAAACCTGTGTGCCACAACTACCAGGCCTGCGCTCTGGAGCCCGTGAGCCACAACTACTGAGCCCACGTGCCACAACTACTGAAGCCAGCACGCCTAGAGCCCATGCTCCACAACAAGAGAAGCCACCACAATGAGAAGCCCGCGCACCGCAACAAAGAGTAGCCCCCACCCGACACAACTAGAGAAAGCCCATGAGCATCAACAAAGACCCAATGCAGCCATAAATAAATAAATAAATGCTTTAAAAAAAAAAACTACAGAATTTAGGGAGTTCCCTGGTGGTCTAGTGGTTAGGATTTGGTACTTTCACTGCCGTGGCCCGGGTTCAATCCCTGGTCAGGGAACTGAGATCCTGCAAGCCATGTGGCCTGGCCAAGATTTAAAAAAAAAAGCAAAACAAAACAAAACAACAACAAAAGACTATAGAATTAAGTTCATTTAATATAACAACTGATCTAATTGGGTTTTACTCTACCATCTTACAATGTGGTGGGGTTTTTTCCTGCCTGTTTAAGTTATTTTTCTCTTTTTCTTGTCTTTTTTAAAAAAATTAAATACCACTTTATTTTTCCCATTACTTTGAAAATATACTATTTTAATATGATATATTATCTTATTAGTTTCCCTAGAAAACAGGGAATTCCCTGGCAGTCCAGTGGTTAGGACTCATCACTCTCACTGCCAGGAGCCTGGGTTTGATCCCTGGTCTCGGAACTGAGATCCCACAAGCTGCATGGCCAAAAAAGAAAGAAAGAAAGAAAGAAAATATACCCTCTTCCTGGAAATGCAAGGATCTTAGAATATTTCAATTTTATTTATTTTTCTATTGACTTATATACTATTGCTGTCATGTATATATTTCAACTACAAAGGACATTACTCTTTGACCAGTGTTCATTTGGATTCAACCACATATTTACCTATTTTATTGCTCTTAAACACATTATTGACTGGAGACATGTTAATACATTTTTAGAGAGTGATACAATTAACATCACCACGCGAAGTTGTTAGAGCTTAACATTTATCAAGGGTTCATTATACAACTTGTGATTGTTATCATTCACATTTTGCTCCATTAGGTTTTTGTTCCAACCTTGTGTATATTATAAAAGTAAATTTTTCAAAAATGACGCATCACAAAATTTTGAGTGAAGAAGAATTTTTCAGTGAATTTTATGCAGATACTGTCTCTGATTGTCTCAGCAACATATATAATAATGTCTCAGAAGATGACAGTTCTTCGGAATATAGTTCTGATTCCGACGATGTGAATATTAGGTCAAGAAAAAGACAAAAAACCTTAGTGATTGGTTCTGATGTGGAAAGTAAAAATGAAACTCACGGTGCTAAAGAATGCTCCTTTGCTTCTATAGAAGAGTGGATTGAAGACATTTCACGAAAATTAGAAGACTTTACAGGTGTGGCAGGTGTAACTATTGAATGTAAATAACCTGCAAAGTAATAGTGAAATAACAGAATTAATTTTGGGCCAGCCAAAATAAAAATCGCCGGTCATGGGCATTAGTTTCTGCAAAAATCCCCTGGTCAATAGTGAGTTAATCTCGGGACTTCCCTGGTGGTGCAGTGGTTAAGAATCCACCTGCCAATACAGGGGACATGGGTTCGAGCCCTGGTCCAGGAAGATCCCACATGCCACGAAGCAACTAAGCCCATGAGTCACAACTACTGAGCCTGCGCTCTACAGCCTGCAAGCCACAACTACTGAGCCCACATGCCACAACTACTGAAGCCTGCGCACTTAGAGCTTGTGCTCCAAAACAAGAGAAGCCACTGCAATGAGAAACCTGTGCACCACAACAAAGAGTAGCCCCCGCTCGCTGCACTAGAGAAAGCCCATGTGCAGCAACAAAGACCCAACGCAGCCGATAAATAAATTTATTAAAATAAATAAATAAAATGCCAATACGATCATGTATTTTAAAAAAATGAGTTAATCTCTAACTTCGTCTCTGATCTCCCAATCTGGAATCACTCTCCTTTTGTCTAAAGAACACCTTTCAGAATTTCCTTCAGTGTGGATATGCTGGTAGCAAGCTCAGTTTTTTTTTTTTTTTTTTTTTTTTTTTAACATCTTTATTGGAGTATAATTGCTTTACAATGGTATGTTAGTTTCAGCTTCACAACAAAATGAATCAGTTATATATATACATATGTTCCCATATCTCTTCCCGCTTGCGTCTCCCTCCCTCCCACCCTCCCTATCCCACCCCTCCAGGCGGTCACAAAGCACTGAGCTGATCTCCCTGTGCTATGCGGCTGCTTCCCACTAGCTATCTACCTTACGTTTGGTAGTGTATATATGTCCATGCCTCTTTATCGCTTTGTCACCGTTTACACTTCCCCCTCCCCATAGCCTCAAGTCCATTCTCTAGTAAGTCTGTGTCTTTATTCCTGTTTCACCCCTAGGTTTTTCATGACATTTTTTTTTTTTAAATTCCATATATATGTGTTAGCATACGGTATTTGTCTCTCTCTTTCTGACTTACTTCACTCTGTATGACAGACTCTAGGTCTATCCACCTCATTACAAATAGCTCAATTTCGTCTCTTTTTATGGCTGAGTAATATTCCATTGTATATATGTGCCACATCTTCTTTATCCATTCATCCGATGATGGACACTTAGGTTGTTTCCATCTCTGGGCTATTGTAAATAGAGCTGCAATGAACATTTTGGTACATGACTCTTTTTGAATTATGGTTTTCTCAGGGTATATGCCCAGTAGTGGGATTGCTGGGTCATATGGTAGTTCTATTTGTAGCTTTTTAAGGAACCTCCATACTGTTCTCCACAGTGGCTGTATCAATTTACATTCCCACCAACAGTGTAAGAGGGTTCCCTTTTCTCCACACCCTCTCCAGCATTTATTGTTTCTAGATTTTTTGATGATAGCCATTCTGACTGGTGTGAGATGATATCTCATTGTAGTTTTGATTTGCATTTCTCTCATGATTAGTGATGTTGAGCATTCTCTCATGTGTTTGTTGGCACTCTGTATATCTTCTTTGGAGAAATGTCTATTTAGGTCTTCTGCCCATTTTTGGATTGGGTTGTTTGTTTTTTTGTTATTAAGCTGCATGAGCTGCTTATAAATTTTGGAGATCAATCCTTTGTCAGTTGCTTCATTTGCAAATATTTTCTCCCATTCTGAGGGTTGTCTTTTGGTCTTCTTTATGGTTTCCTTTGCTGCGCAAAAGCTTTTAAGTTTCATTAGGTCCCATTTGTTTACTCTTGTTTTTATTTCCATTACTCTAGGAGGTGGGTCAGAAAGAATCTTGCTGTGATGTATGTCATAGAGTGTTCTGCCTATGTTTTCCTCTAAAAGTTTGATAGTTTCTGGCCTTACATTTAGGTCTTTAATCCATTTTGAGCTTATTTTTGTGTATGGTGTTAGGGAGTGATCTAACTTCATACTTTTACATGTAGCTGTCCAGTTTTCCCAGCACCACTTATTGAATAGGCTGTCCTTTCTCCACGGTACATTTCTGCCTCCTTTGTCAAAGATAAGGTGTCCATATGTGCGTGGGTTTATCTCTGGGCTTTCTATCCTGTTCCATTGATCTATCTTTCTGTTTTTGTGCCAGTACCATACCATTTTGATAACTGTAGCTTTGTAGTATAGTCTGAAGTCTGGGAGCCTGATTCCTCCAGTTCCTTCTTTCATTCTCAAAATTGCTTTGGCTATTCGGGGTCTTTTGTGTTTCCATAAAAATTGCAAAATTTTTTGTTCTAGTTCTGTGAAAAATGCCAGTGGTAGTTTGATAGGGATTGCATTGAATCTATAGATTGCTTTCGGTAGTAGAGTCATTTTCACAATGTTGATTCTTCCAATCCAAGAACATGGTATATCTCTCCATCTATTTGTATCATCTTTAATTTCTTTCATCAGTGTCTTATAATTTTCTGCATACAGATCTTTTGTCTCCTTAGGTAGGTTTATTCCTAGATATTTTATTCTTTTTGTTGCGCAAGCTCAGTTTTTGTTTGAAATGTCTTTATTTTTCTTTCATTCTTAAGAGATATGTTTGCCAGATAAAGAATTTAAGTTGACAGTTATTTTCTTTCAGTACGTTGAAGCTATCCATATACTGTCTTCTGGCTTCTGTTGTTGCTGTAGAAAACTTAACTGTCTAAAAGGTCTTCGAATGTGTTTTTCTCATTTTGCTTTAAGTTATTATCTTTGTCTTTGGTTTTTTACAGATTTGGGAATCACAGGGTTTCTTGAATCTCTGGACTTATATCTTTCAAATATTGCTTCTACCCCATTCTCTCTTCTCTCCTTCTGGGACCCCACGAAAAGTACATTATATGTTAAAACTGTATCCTCTTAAAATTTTTTCTTTTTTTTGTATTATTATTTTAACAGCAGTTTATTTATTTATTTATTTTTGCTGTGTTGGGTCTTCATTTTTGTGCGTGGGCTTTCTCTAGTTGTGGCAAGCGGGGGCCACTCTTCATTGCGGTGCGCAGGCCTCTCACTATCGCGGCCTCTCTTGTTGCGGAGCACAGGCTCCAGATGTGTAGGCTCAGTAGTTGTGCCTCACGGGCCTAGTTGCTCCGCGGCATGTGGGATCCTCCCAGACCAGGGTTCAAACCCGTGTCCCCTGCATTAGCAGGCAGATTCTCAACCACTGAGCCACCAGGGAAGCCCTGTATTATATTTTTAATCTTGTATTCTCTTTTGTTTTTATCAGTTCCAAAATTTCTATTTGATTCTTTTTCACATTTGTTATGTCATATTTTTTGAAAATATACTTTCCAGTTCCCTTCTAAAATTTTCAAGCCTGTCTTTTATCCCTAGAACATAATAAACAAATGTTTTATAGTCTGTCTGATAATTCTAAAATCTGGAGTCCCTATGACCTCTTCCTTGCTTCTGCTGGTTCTCACTCATATTGTGTATCTAGTTATCTTTCTTTCTTTGCTGAGCACTTTATCTTAAAACTTTATTGTAGAAATAATTTGAGATCTAGTCTGATTTTATCTTCTTCCAGAGAGAATTTTCATTTGGTTTTGCCAGGTGGCTGAAAGCAACAGAATTCCTTATTCCATATTCAAAATTTTAGGTTTCCCTTGGCCAACCAGAAAAGAAGTCAGGCTACAGACCTCGTAAGAACAGTTTTCCTTCTAGTTCACCCTCACACCCAGGGTGTAGCCCTTTGAAATGCTGACCTAATGCAAGAGTTGTTTACCAGGTACCAGGTTCCACAACCTCTGCAAGAGCTGAATTGATATTATAGAGATATAGGTAGATATCTAGATATCTATAGATAAATAAGCATGTGGCTATTACCACCCAGTGTGCCCAGTGATCTCTGCATCATAGTATTTACACACTTGGGAAGGCCCCTCCTACATTGTACCAGTGTTAGTCTCTGTGACCAATGGTAGAAGTGATGGTATATCATAAGATTATAAAAGGTTATAAAAGACTGGCCTCTGTCTTGGGTTCTCTCTCAGTCTGGGGGAAGCAAGCTTCTACAGTGTAAGCAGTCCCAACCAGAGGCCTTCAGCCAAGAGCCGACAAGGAACTGAAGCCTGACAACCATACAAATGAGCTTGGAATTGGATTCTCCAGTCCTATTTGAGCTCTCTGTCCAACAGTTTGTGACTACAAACTCCTGAGACCCTGAGCCAGAATCAGAACACAGCTGAGCTGCTTCCAGATTCCTGACCCACAGAAATTGTAAGATGATAAATATGTTTGTGTTTTAAGCTGCTGAGTTTTAGGGTGATTTGTTATGCAGTAGATAACTAAAACACCCGGCTTTTCAAATTGTCTTCAGCAAAGAGTTCATCTGCATTAACTACTCTGTTGTTCCTGGAAGCAGAACTTTTGACATTCTGTTTATTTTTCTCCTTCCCTAACATCTTCAGGATTGGGTAAATTTTTAAATTCTATTTTACCTTTAAGTGTTTCAGAAGTTATACACTCTATTCCTATCCATTTAGTGGTTATGCTTAAAGTGTTAACATGACTACTTCAAGAACAATATACTGAACTTAAAACTAAACTCTGATCATACTCTCCCATCTTAAATGTTATAGTGAATATTTTAACTACTTTGGCTTTTACTTTCCAAATTAGACATTTTTATTTTTTATACAGTTAATGTTTTCATTAGATTTATCCACATATTTACTTTTTTCACCCTTCCTTCTTGAATTTCAGGCTTCCTTTTGGATAATTTTCTACCTTTTTTGAAGTACATTCTTTAGAGGTTTTTCTAGTAAGAATCTGTTGGTGATAAACTCTCACTTTGCTTTTCTGTAAATACTTTTTGCCTTCATTCTTGAATAAAAGTTTAGCTAGATACATAATTCTGGCTTTACACCTATTTTTTCAATCAGTTGAGATGTTAAGGACTTCTATTTTTTACTCTACTCTTTTACTTTACTGTTCAGCTACTCTACTGACTTCTGGTTTTCATTGTTGCTATTGAGAAACCTGTTATATGTCTATTTGCGATTTTTTAAGTAGATAATATTTTACATCTGATTTTTCTTTTTTTTTTGGCCGCACCGCATGTGGGATCTTAATTCCCTGACCAGGGATCAAACCTGTGCCCCCTGCAGTGGAAGCACAGAGTCTTAACCACTGGACCTCCAGGGAAGTCTCTATACCTGATTATTTTAAACACTTCTCCTTGTCTTGAGGGTTCTGATGTTCCACCAACATGTGTCTTAATGTTGATTTTGTTTATCCTGCTTGCATTCATGTGCTTCCTGAATCTGAGACTCATGTCTTACATAAGTTTTGGAAAATTCTCAGACACTATATTGTCAAACATAGGCCTCTCCTCAATTTTCTCCATTTTATTGTTCTGGAACTCTAAATAGACCTCCTTGTTCTATCTTTCCTATGTCTTAACTTCTCTAATTTCTCTTTTCTATAGCCTACCATTTGTTTTCTATATTACCTTTAGTAATTTCTTTATATCTACCTTCCAGTTCATTATTCTTTCATTTGTGTCTTTTTTTTAAAACTGTTTTTAAAATGTGCTTTGTGGCCCGTTCTTTTGAGTTTTTAATGTGGGATGGCTGGCCATATTTATTTATTTTATATTTTTTAAAAACCAATTAATCTATAATCCAATCACTCAAATATTATCAAAAACCTCTATCTACCTATATGCTCCTCCTCATTCCATTCCCTGGCCTGCCCTCTCAGAATTACAGTATGTATTTGTGTTTATCATTTCCTTTAGTTGTAGCTATGGCTTAGATTTGCTTGTCCTTGAATTTTCTATAAAGCTTATCATACTATATTAAGTTTATTTCAATGATTATAACTTTCATTTATCCAAGTTATCTTTGGCTCTTTTTAAAATCTGCCACATTATTTTTGATAGTCCCTTGTTTGTTGCACGTTTTTGTTTATCTAAATGTTTTCAATGTCATTTCATACTATACGTTGTAAAGATAAATAAAAATTATTTTTTCTGTTTATAAAGGAAAAAGAAACCATTTCCGCTCTCTCCCTCCTTCTAAGAGTGTTTCCTAGGAAAATCTAAAGAGCCTAAATTCTCACTCTAACGTTTTGGAATGTAAATAAGTCTCTCTGAAGGCCTGGGCTTCAACTGTTTTGAAATGTAAACACCTCGGAAGATACAGCTTCACCTTGGGAGCTTAATGTAGGTGTAACCATTTGTTTCTCAGGAAAATAAAAGTTTTATTTTTCTTTTGAATGAGGACAACTAATGAAACAAATGGCTACCACAAATCCCAAGTGAACTTAGGGTGAAGGAATGTGAAAAAAGAAAAACTTAACTAAGAAGGATCTGGCCACAAACTGTGATGTCAAATCCTCCTATGGAAAACAAGTTACTATTAATCCAAATAATAAATGATAGTCGTGCTGCCAAATGGAAAATAGGGTACTACTGATCCCAAAGCCTCATGTTATATGCTAGCTAAAAACAGCGTGAGAGAAAAGGATTATAATTAGCTTAGCTGTATAAATTGTGTGAGGTCTTATTCTGATTTGGTAGTTTCTTGTGGATTACCTATATACAGCTATTTTATAATGTGCTTATTCAACAATAAATGTGTTTGCTTTCTTTCCACAGTGATGTGAAGAGGTCTCTCTTTGTTGATAAGGTTTTTACTTCCCCAACGATATCTAATAATTCCAACACCTATGGACTGTAATTTTTCTCTTTGTTGTTTCTCATCATCATTTCATGCTTGGCATTTCTTAAGAGTGTGGGAATTCAAGGGGCCTCGGTTGAGACATTCCTCTGGAAATTTGAGTTTGTTTTTGCCAGACACCAGAATACACTGCCCATACACAACTACTTTGCTCATTTTTCTGCTAGAGGTTCCTTAGACCATGCAGGTAAAATAAAATCAAACCCTAAACCTGCATGAGGGCAGACCTGTGGTTATGAATTATCAGGGGATACTTTTTCCTCCCACCCAGTACCTAAGGCCAAGCCAGACAAGACTAACTTGGTTCTTCCCTTTGCCAGTAAGCAGACTATATTTTATCCTTTAGATTCAAGTGTTCTAGTGTTATGCAGGGGTCTCAGCCAACCTTCCCCTCCCCTCTCCCCCACTCCTCCCTTGTATAAGCTTTACTTCTATTCCACAGAGCTGCTCTTAAAACCTAAGGCTCTTTCACTTCAGCAAACGTCCATAAGGTGGCTCTAGAAATCAGCTTATGCTTATCACAGTTTTCACTTCTTATTCCCTGCCTCACCCCTGCCCCCAACCAGATTCCCTCACTTTCTTGCAACCTCATTATAGTTTGATTTGAGGGGGTGGTATTTTACTCGATTTTTTTCATCACGAAGGTTTTTAAAAATATGTCACCCATTGTGTTGCTGGAAGGAGAAATCTAAGGCATTTGTTTTATAATGGTTATACCTCTTACCAGCCACTACTCTAGGAAAAGATGGAGGTAGAGAGAACAGATATATGAATATGAAACAGAGCAACTTGCAGAATATTACTGTTCTCCTCAACTAATTCTCTCAGGTATCTTGAATATACTGTAAGCACTATGAATCTCTTTAGAACCTGAATACATGATATTAAGCACAAATTTTATGGTATCTGCTTTACTACAGGAATGTGCCAAGTGTTCATTTTTGCTCTTGTTCTCTTTCTCCTCATTTTCCCAATACTTTCAATAACAAGACTCTTAATCCACAATTTCCTTAGTTAAAAGTATTAAGAACTTCTGTTTCTATTCTCCCCCTCATAGGAATAAACTTGAAATGTCAATCAATTCACTAGGCCAGTTGATTTATTGCTACTTCTACATGACCTGCAGCACCAGCACTATGCTGTTACTCCCCATCAGTCCATTGAACAAAGACTAGTAACTTCTGATACCACAAACACAGAAGATTTTAATAGGACAATTACCTATTTAAGGACCAAGTATTCCTTTAAGGGATATGGGCGGCAATATCAGGACTTGGCTTCAGAAGTATAGGCTGAATTTGCAAAGTGTTGCTAAGCTTGGTCTTTCAAAAACTTGGGTACCTAGCCAAATGAGCCTACTTCAGTAGTACACTTAAACACTACCTTGGTCCCCTCCAAAAGGCACAAAATGTCTTGAATATTCAAGTTGTGATTTCTGCTCTGTTTTATAGCACACTTCTGTGGCAGCAGTGTGTGAGATTAGAGAGAGGGAAATGGGAAATCGGGACACAGTTAGAAAACAATAAAAATAATCTAGTCATATAGGGAAATAAGTGGTCTGGAGCAAAAATTATAGGAACTGTGGTTTAAGAGGGATCTGAGGCAATCTAGGTTAACCTCCTGGTATCTATTGCTTAATCTGGAGGCGAGAGGAAGATGGTAGAACGTTAGCTCCACCAGAGAAGAAGTCCCTACTGATTTACTCCACGTTTCTAGACAGTGCCTGGCACATAATATGCATTCAATATACACTTGACTGAATGAATACGGCAGCGTTAGACAGAATATGGGAAAGGAGGAAAAATGCATTCAAACTCGGGGGCTTAATTTGAGGGAGAAGGGAGTCGAGAAATTTCCCACTGACAAAACGGAGCATGTCAGGAAGGGGAGCTAGTTCTGGAGGAAAAGTATGATTACTGGAAGTTGTAGTGATCAAAACTGCATTTCTAATATTAGAATTAGAATTTCTAATATTAGTTACCCAATAAGGGGTTATTTATCTAAAGGCCAACCACACTAGCTTACTTGAACATGATGACCTTCGCCTAGGTTAGCTGGGATGCAAATTCTCTCTAGATTTCCAAGAATTCTCTAACCACGTAAAAATGTTTCTTCCTGGAGGCTGTTCGCACACACTCCTCCCTCTTTCTGCACACAAACGCGAGAAGCAGGTGTTGGCAGAAAAGAAGCCGGCAGCTGAAGGACCAGAGCTATAATCCAGTCTCTGCCTCAACTGCCGCACCTGCCCCTGTCTTCTGGGCTCCACCAAGGGGAGATTTGGAAGAAGATGACTTAAAGTCACAGGGTGTAAGCAAAACCAGAACAAGGTCAGGAGCTCGTGTCCAACTCTTTAACTCCTGGTTCCGGGTTATTTCTCTGGGGTGCATCTGGCGCCAGCCGCGGAAATACGACCGAGTCTGGGTAAAGGTCGCCAGGTGAAGGGATGATAGCCAGGAGACCTCTACGTTTGTCAAAGTTGACCGTCTCCCTCTAAGCAGGCAAAACGTGAGGCTCAAACAGCATTAAGTCAACCAGCAGGAGACCCGTTACCTTACAGGCTAATGCCCTCGATCCACCCCTCGACTCCGCTCCACCCTCCCCGTCGGCACGCGCATGCACCCTAAGGCCCGAGGTTGACGTCAGCCCCTCCCGGCACAACCTCGGTGTCGTACCTCTAATGGCCTGTCGTAACTGCCTGGAGGGAAAGGCCGGGAGAGGAAGGGCATTCACGCTGTTCCCCTCACAGTAGTAGCAGGTATGCGCGCGCGCAGGGTCCTAACTCAGCCCCGGAGACCCGAGCCAATGGGGCGCGGCGACGTCACTACGTGTCAGTTCGCCGGGCCGCACGTCAGGAGGGCAGAGGGCGGAGCCAGTTTGGTTGCATTTTCACCCGTACATAGGCGCGGACCGGCGTGTCCTTGGGATTACGGAGCGGGACGTTTGGCTTGTGAGCGGGAACGGCTTAGTCGTACACGGAGAAAGAACGGTGGGCGCGGGGCGCGGAGGCCACGGCAGGCGAGAAACCGAGCCATGAGGGCGCGCGCCTGCGTGGGGGGCGCGCGGGTGGACTGAGGCCCGTGAGCGGGGGCCGCGTGGGGGACAGGGAATGGGGGGCCCTGGACTGCGCCCAGCCCGGCGGGCTACGGCGTGAGGTGGGGCGGGACCCTAATTAGGTCGTGGCGTGGTTTCGGTCAAGGTCCTGAAAGCTCGGAGGCGGCTTGTTCGCGGTTCCTTCTGAGACGCGGGCCCTCCGTTGTCGGGACTGTGGGGCTATGGCAGTGATAGACAAGATTTCCTCCGGAGTGAGGGCGGGAGTCGGTGGACGCTGCGCAGCGCGTCACGTCCTCTTTCCAAGAGAGCAAAAGCTGCTGCTCTTCCAATAAGTCATTACTTTTCCTGGCCACCTGTCGCTTCCCCCCTTAACCTGCTCAGGCACCTCGGAGAGGTAGGTTTCATCACAGTGTCCTTGAAACCGGCTTGGATGGATGACCTCGTGGTCTCCCCCGGGGATCCCAGAGCTGGAGAATGGGCATTCCCGGGGAGACCTCAAAAGCCTGCTGCTGGCCTCCCACCCACAGCAAGGCAATTTAGAGGGACTAGAGGGACCTGAGCAGGCTGAATCAACCATTATCTCCCTTTTTGTAAAAATGTATTTTGCCTTATTTTCAGAGGTGGCTTTAAATTGTAGTATGAATAATTAGACCGCCTTAAAAGTTGGAATTTTGGTGGTTTGGGTTTAATATATTCATAGTTCAGCTTATTCAGATTTGTGACTTTGTGACCTTGATGTCATCTTTTGAAATGGTTTTGAAGTAGGTTCCTAATTTGCTTTCATCACGTATGTCAACTGGAAAAAAATGCACAAAGTAAGAGCTGTAAGTTCTGTTTGGGGCAAAATGGGGACCAGAGACTGGGAGACAGCATTTCTTTTTTTTTTTTTTTTCTCGGCCCCAGCATGCGCTTGTGGGATCTTGGTTCCCCAGCCAGAGGTTATTTATCTAAAGGCCTCTTTTGCCAGTTTTTCCCAGACCACAGAGTGCCTCATTCCTGATCTCTACCCTGAACTTTTCAGGATGTGTTGAAGGTCAGCAGCTGCAGTGGCTTGTGCCTTAACGCTTGTAGAAGCAGATGTCAAGTGTCAATTTTTAGTTGACACACACACACAGACGTGTTTTTAAGGAAGTTCTTCCAGATAGTGTTTTTTGTGTTAAAGAATCTTTTGCAAGTGAACTAAGTAAAACAAAATTCAACCTGGTATATAATGTCATAAGTTTGCAGTGCGTTAGTGGCTGGAGTTGATCATTGGTTTACACTTTTTTTACTTGGAGAAAAAATTAATTAATTGAGTCTTTCACTTTTAGATTTAAAAATGGGTGATATTGAGAAGGGCAAGAAGATTTTTGTTCAGAAGTGTGCCCAGTGCCATACTGTGGAAAAGGGAGGCAAGCACAAGACTGGGCCAAATCTCCATGGTCTGTTTGGGCGAAAGACAGGTCAGGCTGTTGGATTCTCTTACACAGATGCCAACAAGAACAAAGGTAAGAGGCGGGCCATTGTTAACTAACACAAGCACAAATTGCATGAATGTAACCTTTGGTAAACACTTTTTCAAGAGTGTGACATACTTAACAATACATCCCTCCTTGTTTAGGCATCACCTGGGGAGAGGAGACGCTGATGGAGTATTTGGAGAATCCCAAGAAGTACATCCCTGGAACAAAAATGATCTTCGCTGGCATTAAGAAGAAGTCAGAAAGGGCAGACTTGATAGCTTATCTCAAAAAAGCTACTAATGAGTAATAGTTGGCCACTGCCTTATTTATTATGAAACAGCTGTCTCATGACTTTTTATGTGTACCATATTTAAATTGATCTCATACACTAGAATTCAGGTCATGAATAGCTGATGTAATATTTCTGTCCTGATTTAAATAAGATTGGCTTGTGGCTAAATGAATATGGTCAGCTTTTTGAATTTTGATAGTAATTCTGGTTCAGCAAGTACTGTCAGTGTTTTCCCCTTCTAAAGAGATGATTAAACTTGAATAAGGAATGTTAAACTTTTCAGGGATATGGTGAATGCCTTCTCAAACCCTATAGGAGATTGGTTTTATATTTAGATTTCTATAACTGGTTATATTAATATATTTAAATATTGAGAAGTTCCCTTCACTGTCTCATAGACCAGCAAGATTCACCTGTGTTTCAAGTTGTGTTCATTCACCTGTTAAGGCAAGGGCTGAAGATACACTGACAATGTCCACTTTATCTTTTTGGTCTTAAATATGCCAATTTAATTAAAATTCTCCATCTAAAATATTGCGTTTTACTTAATGAAGGGCATTTTAGTGTGGTTTATGGATAGCATCAGATAAAGAATATTTAGTACTTCTCACATTTTAGAGATGATCTTTAAGATCAGATGTTTTTAAAATTCACTGTGACATGATAGGTTGGGAAACTTGCTTGTGAATTCTTTACAAAGTCAGACTAAGTTATAATTCAGGATTGTCTTTTAAACGGGTATTCAGAAACACAACTGTAGAACTACTGTAGGTGTGTGATTGGTAATGATGCTTTTGCCAACTCAGAAGGGTTAAGGTAGAGGAGCTCTATCATTAGCACAGATTTGTAAATTATCTATCTGATCATAAGGCTTGAGAATTAAAAACAAAGTCACAGATCATGATTTTTCTAATGTGCTTGATTTAATGACATACCAAGATGGTTGAAAAATATAATACCTCAAAATACGCAGCATTGTTACTAGTCATAGTACTAGATTGTGTTTACTTGGTCTTCTAGGACAGCCTGCCCTAGAACACTTCAGTAATCCACCCGGTTTCTTTGGCCAGAATGAGCACTGCAGCATTTATGCCAAATGTAGAAAGAAGAATGTGTTTCTGGCCATAGTTTTGTGGTATGTATAGTACATGGTTGTAGTATATATACTAAATTATTTCATATACAGTTTGTGCTGTACACGTTTACAGTAGTCCCTAGAAATTTTATGGACTGGTGAGCTTGAACTAAGCCATAACGAATACTGAGAAATTCTCGGTGGGGGAAGTAAGTCTGTGCCGGTGGTGAGAGCCATCTCTTTGTGTGACAGTGAGGAAACCAGGAAGAAGCCTTATCAACAGTGATGGGGATGAGTAGGTAGGCCTGTAAGGCCTGGCAAAGCACTTTGTAACTTGTGAATCTTATTTTTAGTCATTGGAGAAATGTGAGAAAGCAGTCAGTCTGGAAACATGTGCAGAAACAGTTTGGGGAAGCAAAAGAAAGCCTGCTGTAATTCAAGTGGTATCCAGAGATGGTGTAGCAGTTAGCTTCTGAGAGAGTTCTGGACCAATATGGGAAGACATGGAGACCAGGGAACTGATTTATTTCTGTGTTTCCCAAGTCAACTAAGGCCTATGCTGGCAGAGAATTGCTGAGTCCCTGCTGCTTTCTAGGCCAGTTGTACTCAATAAGTGCCTCTAGTGATTTATAAGTTCCTATAGTTAATTCAAAAGAAGGGACATTCCTAGCTGTAAGGGGTGTGTGCTCTCTTAGAAATAAAGAAACCCAAAAAGCTAGCACTGTATAACCCACATGTCTTCATTCCTAGTGTCTCTTCATAGGTGGCTTGGTGAGTAGTATCAAAAGTGGGAGCCAGGTGTATTTAAGAAGTGTTTCTTCCAGGTGCCCCCTATATTCTGGATTTTGTCTAGAATAGCACTATCCAATACAACTTTCTGTGATGACAGACTGAATATGTGCTGTCCAGTTAGCCACCAACCAGGCGTAGTTACGGAATTTGGGTAGTGTGGCTACAGAACTGAATTTTTAATTTTATTCAGCGTTAATGAGTTTAGGTTTGCGTAGCCACATATGGCGAGAGTGTTAACAGCACAGGTCCAGAACTAGAACCATGCGTGGTCTATAACAAAAGTGCTTCCTCTGAACTCTTTGTTTTCCTAATCTAGGATTCTTACACTAAGTGCCCTTGAACACTGATTCCAATTCCTGTCTCTAAATCTGATATGTTCACCTTTATAATTTTACCATACATTCTACATATTCCATTCATAAGTTGGCAATTCATTTTAGTTAGGTGTTATTCTCATGGTATTTAGGGATACACCTTTTTGTCATCCTTTTCCTCAAACTTTTCTTCAGTTTCTTTTTTTATTTTTTTTTAAATTTATTTTTGGCTGCTCTGGGTTTTCGTTGCTGTGCATGGGCTTTCTCTAGTTGTGGTGAGCAGGGGCTACTGTTCATTGCGGTGCACGGGCTTCTCATTGCGGTGGGTTCTCTTGTTGCGGAGCACGGGCTTCAGTAGTTGTGGCTCATGGGCTCTAGAGCTCAGGCTCAGTAGTTGTGGCACACAGGCTTAGTTGCTCCGTGGCATGTGGGATCTTCTCGGACCAGGGCTCAAACCCGTGTTCCCTGCATTGGCAGGCGGATTCTTAACCACTGCACCACCAGGGAAGTCCCTCTTCAGTTTCTTTATAGACATTATATTGTACATTTTCGCTTTAACCTCTAAAGATTGTTGTAAATTGAAAAGGGTGTGATGAAATTCACATGCTGTCTATGAAGAGGCCTTACCAGTGGCTCGCCCCCCCCCAGTTGACTAGGCTAAAGCTATTTCATTTCAGTCAAGGTCACACAAGAGTAAACCAAAACCAACTTAGCTACAACTTAGCTTCATTTCTAGTGATGAGATCTTTTGGCTCTTCATATTAGAGTACCTTGAGATACCAAGTAAGATTGCTGAGCACAGAATAAG